TGGATTTTGGCAAACAGTAAAGCTGAGACTGAACTGAAACCCTGTGAAACTCCCCAGAACTGACACTAGATGTTTATCAAAATGACAGTGTTGCTTCTTGCATTGTGCAGAAGCCTTACCATTCTTTATTTGTTTGTGTATAGTGTTGAATAAAGTTATGCATCTTGTAAAATTGCATCATTGTATATCTCTTGGTCCACACCAGTTCACCAGCTGGTAGCTTTCTCTGCAGTTGTGATGAAGGGAAAAATATTAAGCAATCTGAGTGAAGTATGAAGTCTTAGTGAAAAGAAATGTGCATCTTTTCTGCCTCATGAAGCTGATGGTATTGCCCACAACAGAAGGGTTCGTTTGAAAGAATCCTGCTCTTACTTGCTGTAGTACTGGTATGTGACTGCTGGCTTGTGCTGGCACAGCACAGCAGCTGCTCTGAGTGCTCAGCTCTCCCAGAAGGTTGTGGCTGATGTTGTTCACATGCTCTGGATAGGAAAGGACAAATTGTCACCTTAGTACAAAAGAGAGAGAGGCGGTTGTTTTAGGGGGTTTTTTTGTCATGTGTTTGTTACAGTTATGTGAAAGCTGTAGCAAGTTTGTTAGGAATTCTGTACAAAAGTGGTTTGGTTTTGCACATTTTTAGTTCTTTACTGTATTGAAGATTATTCAGATAAGACCCTTCTGTGGGGTTTTTTCAGTGGAGAATGAGAAGGATGTAAATTCTGGTCAAGGGTTGAGGGGAGGAGTATTTTTGTAAACGAAGTGCTTCACAATACCCTGCTCGATGGTCAGAAATAGTGACATAATGGGTAATATGTGGTGTATAAATAGCATAGCTTAGACTCTTGAAGTAATGGGTTTTTCTTTCAGTAATAGTGGCTAATTTCAGGCACTCAGTATTAGTGAGTTCTGATAGAACAGATTTCTTTGAGCAGCATGCCTCTAGAATGAGGAAGTTAATATTCAGAACTCTTAAAAGATAAATTTGTCAGAAGGAAAGACTTGAGTAACCTTGATCTTATGACTTGGACATAAAATTCAGATGGGGCTTCATAAAGTCATGCTGCACTTGTTCTTTTTTTGTGTAACTGAAATTGTGTTGGCTTTTTTGTGTGGTCTTACACTCTCATCCTATTGGACAATAACATTTATTCTCATGAAAATGATGAAGCAGCCTCAAAGGAATTCTTTAAGTGCTATCACAGTATTCTGTCGTTTGTTGTGCAGGTGTTTCTTTTGTGACTGCCTCAGAAGTGATAGTGTGTATAACATGAGGAAATGTAGCCTGACCTGCTTCCTCAGATTCTATCACAGAATTTAGGGGTTGGAATGGACCTTAGAGGTCATCTAGTCTCAACACCCTCTGCCATGGGCAGAGACACCTCCTCACTAGACCAGGTTGCTCAAGGCTTCATCCAGCCTGGCCTTGAACACCACCAGGGTTGGGGCAGCAGCCACATCCCTGGGCAATCTGTGCCAGTGTCTCACCACCCTTATAGTAAAAAACGTTTTCCTCACATCCAGCCTAGACTTTCCCTCCTTCAGTTTGAATCCATTACTCCTTGTCCTATCACTGCAATTCCTAACAGAGTCTGTCTCCAGCTCACCTGTAGTTCCCTTTCAGATATTGAAAAGTTGCTATGAGGCCTCCACACAGTCTTCTCTCCTCCAGTCTGAACAGCCCCAACTTCCTCAGGCTGAGCTCCTGACTACAAGAGTCTGTGCCTCTGGAACCAGCTCTGGGAGTACTTTGTTAAACTTGTAATGTTCTTTTTTTTTCTTCCCCTGCTGTTT